CACACACAGCACAAGTGAGTACAGTCGCGGGTGAATTAAACAGCGCCCAGCCCACAACGGGGCAGCAATGAAATGAAAACAAAACACACAGTGCTGTGAGCAGACATTACAACCCCGAGCTCAACGGAATGGAAGGAGAACTGATGTCTTGTGCACACGCCAGTCAATAAACAGAACGACACATCAGCACCGCAGTCAGCATCAGTGGCGCACTCAACGATGCAGAGCCACTGACTCCATCCGCGTTACGGATGGCGTGCGCCTCACCACCGGAGCTGCTGCTAGTGACGTCGGAATCCGGCGAAGCAGAAGCAGCAGGTGCCACAATTGTTTGCGCTTCTGTTTCAGGCGGCTGCGTGGCAACAGTTTCCGGGGCACCATGTGACTCAGTGGCAGTGGCACCTTTGTCCACCATGCGTTTCCCCTCCCTGGTGGACTCTTCAATGACTGAGCCGCCGCCTTCTGTCAGGGGCGCGAGATGTGGCTGGCGACTCCCTGCGGAGGGGTTCGCGCTGGCACTTGGTAGACCCTGCGCAGCTCCTGTTCCAGTTCCAGTGGCAGTGAAAGTGCGTGTAGACCCCTCAGGAAGCCTTTCAGTCTTTGTGCTGGATTCAGGGCCCTCCTGTTTAGAAGACGCTGCCGCGGGTTGCGTTATCTGACCACTCGCAGGCAATTTTCCTTGTTTCCCGGGTGGTGCGTCAGCATCCACTTCACCAAGCGCAGCCCCGCGGCCTCCTGCAGATTCCTCGCCACTTAGAGAGAGTCCTTGTCCGCGTTGGTCAGGGTCTCTAGGGTCAGGCGATTCACCCCTTCCGTCCGTAGGATAAATGTTCTTTTCAGCCGAGAGAGAAAAATCGGATACTGGTAAAGGACTGCATTTGGCCACAACGTTCGCAATGATTTCCACGTCGTACCCAGCTGTGAGACTCACTTTATGTTCTTTTTTTTCCATGATCGTATTGGGACCGTAGCCAGTTGCAGTGGTCTCCACGTTGGCATCATGGGTGATACTGTCGGAAGCTGCCTCACCCTTCTGAACGGTACACGTTGTTCCAGGGATTTCCGCAGATGTGCCTTCCTTCGTACATTTAACATCCAGTGAGGTCTCCAGTGTTAAGTTGTACCCATCGGGAACTTTGACTGCCTCAGACGGTTTAATCGGAATTTCTGGCGTTTTTTCTGAGTCACCCTTCTTCTTCAAAGCAATCTTAGTGGAAATAATAACATCGCTGGTCTTCCCAGTAGCCGGGGTGGACGATTTTGTGCAGTTAGTAACGTCAAACTTCCGCGTCAGCGTTATCTTCGCGTTATCAGTTGTACGTGACAAATCAGCTGCACCAGTTTCTGCCACGCACAAGGCCGTGCAGCAAAGAGCAGCGGCCAACAAGAACACAACGCGGCGCACTGTCGCCATAATTCAATATCGCTTGAGCAGCTGAGGGGTCTGCAGGGAGGAGAAACGAGAAACGCTGCACAGCAGGCAGCCCCAACACACACACACACACACACGGAGCGGAAGGGAGCAGCAGGCACAACACAGGCGGCATCAACCATGATTAAAAGAAACCCATTAGAGAAAAGAGAACTGGACGGCGGAAGAGGCGCACAAACTCCGCTGGAGTCCAAACACACAAGGCCCCAAANAAAGAAGGAGAGACGAGGCAGCAGCAGCGCACGTGGACGCAGTTGTACTGCTGGCGCTCACGTCCCTTTATGTGTGTCCTGGTGTGAGTGGCGCAGACATGGCGGGAGGGACGCAGCGAAGGACGCACCACGCACACACAAGGATGAAAAGAGAATCCCCCAGCAGGAGAAACAGTTAGTGGGCGGCGCACAGCACCGCGCAAAGCAAAGCCCAAGCAAGAAAAGAAAAGAAATCACGCCTCCCCTTCCCACAGTGAATGTACCGTCGAGTGCAAGTGGGTCGGCGTTACGCCCACAACGGGGCAGCAGTGAAATGAAAACAAAAGAATCTTTATAATGAAGAACGCAGCCCTCGAGACTCAACACAATTATTACGAGGCCATCGTCGCACCCTGCACACACACACTCACTCGTCTTACCACACGGCCATGCAGGCAAGCAGCAGTATCAGTGGCGTACGCACCCACGCAGGGATGTCGCTGCCATCTGTCACTCCACTTCCGTATAGGCCTGCTGTGACACTGTCGTTGCTCGCATCCGGTAACGCAGCAGACATACCCTCCTGCGTCGATGAAATCCCTTCAATAGGGCTGTTTCGACGATCAGAGGTTGCCGTGCTCGATTCAGTCAGTCGCGTTGATCCACCCGCAGCTCCAGAGTTCTCTGTCTGCCCTGTTTGTTCCTTTGGCATGTGCGCAGTGCCTTCTGGCGCGCTGGACTCGATATCGGTAGGTGAAGACTTCGTTTCACCCAGCGTTGTTAATGACTCCTCCACTTTCGTCTTAAATTTCTGCAACTCCTCATTGGCACTGGCTAGCGCAGCATCCGCGACATTGTTCGCTTTATTAGCCTCGTCCACTGTTGTCATAGCGGAGTCACGTTCCTTTTCTGCAAGCTTCTTCATCTCTTCAGCAGCCGTCAGTGCAGCAACAATGTTCGTTACTGCATTGCCAGCACTCGTTGTTGCCAGGTTAGCGTTCGTCTCTGCTTCTTCTGCACTTACATGCGCTTTTACAGCAAGGTCCTTAGCCTCTTTGTTTACGGCGAGTTTTCCCACTTCGGTCCCAGGTCGACTTAACTTCCCATCTGCCGCCGTGGCGTTATCCTCCGCACCCTTTGCACTCGTTGAGGCGTGTTCCGCATTATTTTTGGCCTTATTGATATTCGTCAGCGCCTGCCCGATCTGCTCTACTGCCTTTAGAGCACTGGAAGCAAGAAGTGCGGCATCCTCTTTTTTATTGGCAGTATTTTCTTCCACCGCGGAGAGTTGCTGCGCCTCTGTCGCACGCTCTGTTTTTGGCGCATGTATTCCGCTCAAGGTAACTGCGGCGTTATGCCCTGCAGCTGGTGGCACCTTCCCCGCCGCCTGTGCATGAGCAAGCACTTTCTTCGCTGATGCCTTTGCCTTCTGGAGTAGCTCTTCAGATTTTGAAGCACTTCCCACGGCACTTTGGGCAGTAGCCCCCGCAGTTTGTGCACTCGTGGCAGCGGCTTTGAGATCGCCCTCTCCCAATAACGTTTGCAGCGCTGTATCAAGCACCGCCTTGGCAATCTTATTCAGCACCTCCTTTCCACTGCCAATACTTGTCACTGCCTCTTTTGCCATCTTCACTGCAGCTTCGGTGTGCACTTTTGCTTTCCTGGTGTTCTCAACCACATTTAAGGCCTCGTTTTTTACGTCGTCAATTATAGCATACGCCTCCCGGGCCTGTTGCAGCGCCTCCCTCGTGTTGGACACTTCTTTAGCGCAGTCAGCCACCCTCGCCCTCGCAGCCTCCTCCTCCTCAGCAGCAGCAGCCACGCACAAGGCCGTGCAGCACAGAGCAGCAGCCAACACACACACAACGCGGCGTACTGTCGCCATGATTCAATACCCCTTCAACAGCTGGGGTCTGCAGGGAGGAGAGAAATAGAAGAAAGATAGTGCGCATGGAATGGAGGAGGGAGAAGCACAGACCCCGCAGGAAACAAAGCCCCAAAAACCCCATGTTTAACAAAAAAAGAAAAACCAGCAACAACGCAGTCGTGGCGACTACCCGTGTGCATGTGTGCATTCATGGACGCAAGCAAGTCGGCCTGTCTCCATGCGCCTTGTGTGAGATGCCCACACACAGCAAGGGGGACACAAAACAAAAGTCAGTGCAAAGCCCACAAAAGAGTCATTTAAAGAAGAAACGATTTAGCGGAGGACACACAGTCATGTGCTAAGCAATGCCCAAGCAATGGAAATAAGGGGTTAATGACGCCTCCCAACGACGGTATCGAGCACAGTGAATGTACCGTCAAGGGATAATAGAGCGGCGCCAGGCCCACAACGGGGCAGCAATGAAACAAAAACGAAAGAATCATACCACACAGGGGAGCTCTGCCACTCGGCGAACACACAATTAAGTGGGGGACATCATCGCTCCATATGCATCCCACTCAGTACGCTCCCAGAGATGCCATCGTCCACAAAAGCAGCATCAGCAGCGGCGCCCCACACACACAC